GCAGACTGAGAAAATATGCGGGGCAGATAGCGGGACAAAGGCGAAACGAGAATGTAAATAGCCGCAGAATTGGGCTGGCCTCGGCTGGCTAAAAAGGAAAGTGAAAATTGCACAGCAGCAGCGACGGCCGACGCTCCTCCCCATCGGAGGAAAATAACTAGAAAACCAAATTAACCAAATTAGCAAGCTGTAAATTCAGCGCAGCGCCTTCTTTCTTCCTGCCACCAGCTGTAGTGCGCAGCAAATTAATAAAGTTTCACATTATTAGCGGAGTTTTTCGCCCGGCGTCTTCTGCTTCGGCATCTCCCATTTTCCATTTCCCATTTACCAGTTCGCAGTTCCCATTTTCACACAGCCAGTTGTGTCTGACTCCAGTCGGCCTGGTTCATTTCTTCGGTACTTTTCTTTCGCCCTTCTGGCCAAATTTAATTTCTCTTGTAGTTTTAAGCAGGCCAAAGTTTACTTTTTCTGTGTGCGTGTGTTATGGGCCCTAAGTAAGTTGGCCAACTTGGATATTTTTCGCCCTACGCTTAAATTATATGCGCAAGTTTGGCCAACAACTTTTCGAGGCGATGCGAACGAGTTTCGCTTTAATTTATCGCCCAGTTCCTTTGTCGCTGAGCGCGGCATGTATAAAAGTATAATATTCATACACGTGCACAGTTGTGGTTGATAAAGTAGTTGTGCTTCTAAGTAATGGAGGGGAACTAGTTTTAATGAGCTCTTTATGTTCCTTTGAGTCTTTGATTTTGGTTGTGAGGTAAACTCTACTTAAAATGACAGTGAAACAAAAGGACAACCATACTATGTATATTGTATCTTGTTTACCCTCTCAATATTCTTTACCTTCCTTTCCTTTACAAACCAATTGAGACATCTCGTTCTGCGTCATAACTGCTCTATTTTCTTGACCGCAGCTGTGGGTTATGTTCATGCATTTATGCCAGCTGACAACCCGCAAAGGGAAGATGCGGCAAAAGCAGCGCGGCGGGAAAAAACCAAAGCGAAAATGAACAACACGAGGCGATCCTGGGCGCAGGACCTGCACACACAACCACACACACACAGACACACTCACTCACACTCACACATTGGCTGACAGGATGCTGGGGATTCGCGCAACGCGTCGTACACGCAATTGACCTAATTTCACCCCTCGGATCCTGGGATTCCCCCGTTTCGCCGAGAGTTATTTCCTACTCGACGTCGCGGTAATGGTCGCCGTTTAGCTCTGGTCCTGGTTTGCCGCCAGGATGCGGCCAGGATGCGTCGCGATGTGCGGCAGGATGTTCAGCTCGCCGCCTCGCAGGATGCACTTTACCCAATATTGTATTTCCCGCTTATATTTTTCCATTTTTCGCCTGCCCATGTGTACTCTACTATGTGTGTCGCGGCGAGTGTTTCAAAAATTCATGGCAGCTTTTCGAGGGCCGCTCTTCTAGTTGCTAAAAACGCTCACATTCCCCTGGATTTTAGTTTTATTTTTATTCCCTGCTCGACATAATTAAGTTCCTGTCGATGATGGCAAAGTTTTTGACATTTACTCATACGAACAGGCAACTTTCGGCAGCTAAAAATACTGCGCATGGCTCGAAATTAATTTCATGGCAACAGCAAGGACACACACAACTAGCAACTAGCAAAAGCCAACACGTGTTTTTAGAACGTGTTAATTAGGTGAATTTCTGAGATGTATTTCCAGCACACCTTCCAAATTAACAGAGTACTCGAAGAGCAGGTGGGCGAAAGCCAAAGTGGCAGAGTGGGAGCAGCCTTGAACCAGTGGCAAGTTGAGGGGCTTCTCCACAGGTGGTGAATGAATTAGAAACCAGCTCTCTCGCAAATAAACTTGCTTAAATAGAGAGTGATTCGTGACAGAAATAAACAGAAATATTTTGGTAGGATTTAAGTAGGATAACTACACAAGCAGGCATAGAAAATAGAGGGTAAAGGAACCTATAAATCAATCGCTCATAAACTCTTCACAAACTCGAAAGGCGTAACTATAAATTGTACTAAACTGGAACTATTCAGAGCTAATTGAATCTCCACCTAGGATTCCGGAGAAGGCCCAAGTAAAATCGAAGCGAATTTATGCCCCAATCAAGCTCAACAACTCGGGCAAATTGCAGAGACTTGCAGAACGGAAAAGGCTTTCATATTGATTTACAAATTCTGCAGATTCCGCTGGCATCAGCAGCAAACAAACTTCCTATGGGCAAACTTTCGAGGCACATAATTCCGGGGGCCTACTGAACTATCTGTATCTGGTATCTGGTACTTCGTCCCCTCGAAGGCCGCTCTAATTGCATTTAATTAGCCAGCTACGTTGGTTGGCCCCGTTCTATCCCCGTTTTTTTTTCCCGCTGTTCTTGTCCCCTCGCTGAAAACGCTAACGCTGAAAAGTTGACCGACATAAATTTCATTAATTAGTTGAAAATTTGGCCGGCACTTTGTGAGCAACAATTTCTGAAGATTTGTTAACGCTGCTTGGTCATTTGCCGGCCGGCCGGACCTTTTCGGTCATTAAACAAATGTATTTATGGCCTGCAGGTCAGCCGTTCGAAATGAGCACTCGTGGGGGAAACTTGGCCGCTCAAGATCAACCCCAAAGTGGCGTCAGGATATGAAAAGTCTAACCCGCAATATTTGGCAAGTTCCCCCCAACAAAACTTGGCCAACTTTAAGAAGCCCGAGTACAAACTCTCGGAAGACGACGAGCTGCAGAGCTGACGAGCTGATAAACAAACAAACTCTAAGTCTAATGTCCCACTTTCCGTTTGCCATCCTTCGGCACTTTCTCGCCAGGATTTCCCGGACACAAAGCTCGGGAATTCAGGATGGAAAGGAAACTCGTTTGCCGTTGACAAATTCGGGACGGGGGATAAATCAATTGAAAAATATTAATGAATTATTTATGAGATGAGGCGGAGGGCAAATAAAGCAGGAATAGGAAATAAAACAAGTCGGACCAGCAGCCGATGGGGAAATCCCCTCGGGTCCGAACCGCAGGAGGAAATAACCGCAAAAAAATTGGAAAAGCGAGGGAAAACGCAGGGAAAAACAAAGAAAAAGAAGGCCAGACCAAAACCAAAACCAAAACCAAAACCAAAGCCCGAAAAGAACGAACTGTAGGAAAATTACGCTGGAGACTAATAAAACAAGATTATTGCGGTATAACCGCAGACAATTGGCGTGGAAAAAGCGGGAAAGGAAACGGGGAGGGGAATGAGGGGAGGGGAGGGGAGGAGGGAATTTGAGCCAGAACTAGACAATGAGCCAGGCCATAAATCAGCCGCCGCAGAACGCAGACAACTGCAGTCGGAAAATGTTGAAATAGTGTGAGTTGTGGAAAAGCCCAGCTCACTTTAGCCAACTCACACGCATTCAAGCCGTTCTCCTTGCAGAGATAATTATGCCAATATGGATGGAACAATTCGAACGGAAGAGCCGCAGACAGCAGCAGCAGGCTTTTCCTGGGAAAGCCCGGAAAATGTCCGTGTAAATATTAAATATTGACCAGCTCGGAATGGAGAGTGGAGCCGGAGAATTCGAATTCGTATTCGATGGCAAAGCTGGCTAGAAATGTGTCTGGAATTCAATTTCGTTTGACACGTTCAAGCAAATGCAATGAATATCCCCGGCAATCAGTTTCCATCACTCAAGTCCAAATAAACAGAAGGGGAAACCCCCGAATATTTCTCTAGTGGAAATTGTGTGAAATTCTTCTTTGATTGCAAAACTAATTAATAAATATTTGCACTTATAGTTACACACCAACGTTGGGTAAAGTAACAAATGTGAAGTTCTAGTTAATTATCTGGTATTCACACATATTGCATATATTTATTAAATAATTATAACTTGCATTGAGATATTTAATAAAGTTCAAAAGTAAAACAGCAATTATATCTGCTGGCTTACTTTCCATAAGAATTCCATTCATGTTTGCATGCATTTTATATGTTTATCAAAATGTTTACATTTTCCCCTAATTGTAATTGTTCGTTCCCACACGCATTCAATTTGTCAAACGCAAAAATTAAAATATTTATTAAACACTTAGCCCAATGCAGCGAAACAATTCATTACAATTAATGCTGACCGCATTACAAATAACTTTTACATCGCTGCCGACGGCGAATAGAAAATGTCCGATCCGCTGTGGAAATGCATTTCAGCGGGAAAACCCGTCACTCGTCGGGGGATTTCAGCGCTTGAAAATTAATTATTAACAAATTGCTCAGCATGAAAGCGAAACAAACGAATGGCTCGTGTTATTGCTGCTGCAGATGTGGCACATGTTGCAGATGCTGCAGATGTTGCTGCCACTCGCGTCGCGAGCAATTTGTGCACTATGCATTAAATGCAATTTGAACTATTAAAAGCATACTTTTGGCACACTTTGCGATGGGAAAAGTGGCGTAGGGGCAGCTGTTTAGGGCGTGGGTCCAAACTGGTTGGACGACGGCCATTTTAGTCATTTTAGTCATTTTCCACGCACGTAAACATAATTTGCATTGCTCGGAAATATTATGGCAGCGGCCAAAAGTGTGCAATACAGCATTCTCCCACTTTTTTCGCCACTTTTCCATTTAAGCCACGGAAGCGGAGGCAAAAAGTTCAAGTAGTAAAGCAAACAGACAGCAAACCCGAGCACGCGAATAGAGATGTCTTTACGATTTTAGTTTACAGAGTTCACAGAGTTCGAAAACTTAACATTTTATTGAGTTATCAGATGTAAAAACTTCTTTATTATTGAAGAATCAAACCTATAAACAAAGCCAATAATTTTTGAATAGACCCTTAAGTTTATTGTAATGTTGTCGACACCATAAACCATAAAAACTTTAGTTTAAAATATGTATTATATCAACTGTATTTTTTTTTTGTTTATTAAAGTCAGCTTTAGCTACTTTTTCTATAACTTTTGGCTGTAAAATATAGCCAGGTCAAAGGGCAAATAGCGGCAGATCTGGCGAAAGGGCAAGAGCACTTACCGTTATAGAATGGCCAGAGAAGCGATTGTTGTTGCCGCTGTCCGAATGGTTGTTGCTGTTGCTGCTGTTGTTGTATTATGCTAACAACTAGCGCCATTATTATAATAACAGCTCGCGTCGTCGTCGTTGCCTTCGATGTTGCTGTTGTTGTTGTTGTTGTTGCTCCTGCTGTAACTCTCCTGCCGCTTGTTGCTGCTGATGTTGCTGTTGCTGCCGTTGATGTTGCTGCTGGGACGTCGACATCAGCAGCGTGGCCTGGGCTACGCGATTCGATGACGTCGACGTCGACGGCGCCGCTGCGACGCAAAAATCCGCATAAATTTATATTGCAAATTTGTTTCCCCTCCTGTTGCCGATGTTGCTGTTGCTGTTGCTGCTGTTGTTGTTGCTGCTGTTGCCGTTGGTCCTGCTCCCTCTGTTGCTGCTGCTTCTTGTGTTGTTTAACAATAACTATTGCCGCAGGCATCCAGCGAGATTTAATAGTTTTTGCCTGTCGTTGAGTTTTATTTGCCAGTTTTCAGCTGATTTTTCTTGTTGCTGCATTTAAGTGCTGATGTTGCTGCTGCTAATGTTGCTGCTGTTGGTGCTGTTGCTGCTGCTCCTGTTGCTGCTGTTGCTGTTGTTGCTGTTGGTATTGCTGCTTCTGCCGCCGCCGTCGTTGTCGACTTTAGCAGCATAATGCGCCATTCCCTGTTGCCGCTATTATATTTTGTTTTATGCTTACTTAAACTTTTACTTTTGCCAGCCGTCAATGAAATATTTGAGCTAAACGCTCGCCAGCAACATTCAGCTAGATTGTTGTTCTTTTTGTTGTTGTTTTTGTTGCTGTTGGTGTTGCTGCTTTTATGACTCAGCTGCTGCCTTCGGTTTTATCTCGGTTCGCTTTAAGTTTACCTTTACTTTGCTTCACTGCGCAGGAAAAATAAGCAATGAAGCAATCACTTTCTGGTGTGCAAACCCCGCAGCATCGTGTCCGAGTTATATAGAAAAAAAAAAGTGGGTGGGGGAGGGGGGTATTCGAAGAAGATGTACAGTTTTAAAGGGTTCTATGTTCTATGTGGGGCTTACAACGGCTTGGGTCCAATTATTTTAAGTTTGCTTGTCTACCTAGAAAGTAGTGTGAGTTTGTGGAAACACTACAGATTTAAGGTGCTTAAATTCTTTGCAATTTAATTGCCAGCCTTTTATAGGAATACACTATTTTCCTCACTATTTTAATGTGAATATTTTCTGGGCAAAAATGTTGAATAGTCCGATTATGTTTGAAATGCTAGGCATTTTAGTTATTTTCTAGTGAAAACAGCCAGCATATTTACAGAAATAAAAGTCTGCTTAACAGCCTGCATGTGCCTGTATAAAATATTTTGTGGTTTGTGTTTAATTCAATCTCTTCGTCAAAAAATGTTGCATGAAAGATCTACAATTTAATGGAGTATTTTGCTATGCATTCTAATGGCTTGTGGTTAAGACTTCCTACTAAACCCAAACGTAGTTCGTTTACAAATTGCAATGGGTGTTTCGTCTAATAAGCTTTCTGATCCAATGGGTATTTTTAAGCCACCGCCTGTTGCTCAGCGTGTCAACACTTTTGCTTTCCGTGGATTGGCGAGCTGGTGGCAAAGTTTCAACCTTTCAGCTTTCAGCCATTTTAGCTGCCACTTTCCCTGCACTTCAATTTGCACCGCTTCCCGCACCGCTCGCCTTTTTCTTTCGCCATTTCTCCGCTTTTCTTTTGCCAGCTCTCCCTTGCACATCAGTTTACGTGGCCATTTCTGTCCCTCGCCCCCGAAGGCTCTCTTGGCCATTTGCTGTTAGTCTAATTTAATTGCATTCGTGGCCCGTTTTGTTACGTATACGCAGGGTGGGCCGCCGCCATGGATGGGGTTGGAGAAAAGGTAGAGGAGGAAATCCATTGAGGTTGCACTCTGTTGTGCAGCAACGCCCCTGCTGCAACCTGTCCTTGCTCTGCATTCCTTTGTCGATGCCCTTAATCCTTATCAGTTGCCAACAAAACAAAACAAAACAAAACCCAACAAAACTAAACAAAACAAAACGAAACGGAGCAGTACCTACAACAAAAAAAATCGGAAAAACAAACAAAGCTCACAAAAAAGCGAATGGCAAACACCGAGGTCCTGGCTTATTTTCCTGCTGACCCTGTTCGCTCCTCCGCTCGCACTTTCACTTTTATTCGGCTGCAAGGTAAATGATTTATTATCGAATGGCGGCCGAATGGCGATTGCGGTCCGTGTGGCCATTCTTTAAACAAACCGTCGTAATTAATGATACAGAAAATGAAATTCAACACACACAAAACTTCGCCGCAGATTTATTGCCTTGCACTTGAACCGCACAATAAATAAATAGTTCTAGCATTTGGATTCGGGGGCGTTGGCGGGAGCGTGGCGGCAAACGAATGACTCTGGCTTGTCTGCTGATTAGCCAAGTGTGTGCTGTGTTGCCAAGTGTAATTGTTGTGGCAGCGTTTGAACTGAAATGGCTGCGATTAATGAGAAACTAAACTAAGTGGAGGTGTGAGGCAAAAAAGCTTGTAAAAAAGGAAAGAAAAGCAGATTTGGGAAAACCAAGTTTAAAGAGAACCAAACACTTACAAAAGAACAGCATTTTATAAGTTTTTTCCAAATAATTTTAATTACATTTCCCTATTTCAGTAACGGATCCAAAAAAATGTAATTAATACATTTGGAAAACCAATTTTAATGATAACCAAACACTTGCAAAAGGACAAAATTTTATGAATTTTTTTAAACAATTTTAATTTTATTTCCCTATTTCAGTAACGCATCCAAAAAATGTATTAATTACTTAGTAAAATTATGAAGAGACAAAGGAAAACAACTAAAAAGCTGTCCGTTAAAATGTAAACTTTCATTTAAAAAATATATTGAACATCCCTTGGGTTTTTTCTTGGTGAAGAAAATAACTGTAAAATATTTATTTAAAAATATTCCCATTCACATCCCTATTCAGTAACGGATCAAAAAAAGGTATTAATTACTTAGTAAACTCAGGGAGAGCCAAAGGAAAACAATTAAAAAGTTTTCGTTCAAAAGTATAAACTTTCTTCTAAAAATAATATTAAACATCCCTAAATTTTTTTCTTGGTAAAGCAAATATTGCAACTGTAAAATATGTATTTAAAAAGAAATATAATCCTGATGAAAAGCTGCCAAAAGGGAAGCGCAAATTTTGTATGACAAAGGAAAGCGTAACCCGGAAATAATTTGTCCCTTTTTAAGCCAAATCTGCCATTTTTTTTTTTTGGAAGCTCAATATAAACCACCGCACGTAAAATCAACTTTAATCAAGCGACTCCACCTGCCAGGAGCTCTCCCACAGGAACACAGGAAACCCCGGCGAGCCAATCAATAAAATTCCCTTTAATAATGTCGAAAAGAAGACCCGTCCGGGCAGTCATAAAAAAGCGTTCCAAAAACGATATGAAATATGCCTCATAAAGATTAAAACCTGCTCATTCTCTCTTGCCCCGTGGTAACAGATGCAGCCAGGATGTGCCCAGGATGGCACATGTGGCGGGGCAGCAGGAGCTGCGAGTCCTGGCAGCGTTTTATTATCCTAGCATGCCTTCACAGACCACAAAGTGCGGGCCAACAGCTTGGGGAAGCCTTTCTGGGGCCACCTATGAGCTCGGTTTGGCCATCATCTAAGCACCCTTCGTGCACTCGGAGAAAATTATGGTTTTATCTGACCGAACAATTAGGGTATTTAGATAATTATCGTGGTAAAAGATTACTAGATTTGTTGTGCGTTGATATGCGTTAGTTTTAAAATAAATACGTAGAGAAATAAAAATTCAATAAACAAAACAACATACTATTTTTAAAGGATAAGCTACGTTTAACATAAAGTTACTAGTTATATAAGTTATAGTATAAAGTATTATACGAATTTTTTATTTTTACCAACAGAAAGCAATGCTTTTGTTGGAAACAAACTATATAATAATAGCCAAGTCTATTTCCCTTGTGCATGTCCATGGCTAAGCGGCTTGGGCTGAGGTCCAAAATAATATGCAGGCGAGGGGGAGGGAAGGGGAGCAGAGAACAAGGAGCAGAGAACAAGGAGCAGAGAGCAAGGAGCTCCGGGCAAGATGTCTGTCAATAAGCCTTATTCTACAAGATTTCATCTGCGGCGGGCGTGTGTTTGTGTTTGTGTTTGTGAGCGGGCTTTTCACAGGCGCATGTTTATGAATTATTAGCATAAACAATCACACAGACGCGCTCACAAACACACTCACACACACACATACACACTGACACGGCGCACTAAGCCCTGTATGAATTCTGATTAAATGTAATGCGCTCAAAGCGCATTCAAAGTCGCCCCTGAATTATTGATGCTCCCTTTTGGCCAGGACCGAGCGGTCATTAGCCAACTAGCCAAAAAGTGGCCACCGAAACTGAGGCGCCGCCACCCGAGCGCCGACAACGTTCGGTGTTCATTATTCAGGATATGTCCTTGGGCGGGCGTTAAGCTTTCAATGTGATTAGGTGAGCCAAGTCCTCAGCTTGTTTGTATTTACACACACATACATATATCCTTCTGTATATATATGGTATATATATTTGGGTTCACACTCCATTAGAGTTGAAAATGCTGCTCGAATTCTGGCTAAAATTCGCCGGCTTAAATTTGTGCGGTCTGCTCAGACAACTTAAGGAACTTTTTTGTGGTCCCCAAGGTCCCGGAAAAAAAGCATTTCCCTTTTACATTATTTATTCGACCCTTGACAGCCTTTTCATATATATTTCATACAATTTTATGCCTTTCCTCACATTGAAGAATTTTAATTTTCGGCGCGCCAAAGGATGAAGACAGAGCCTGGAAACTTTGGGCCAGAGGACTCCCCAAAGCCATCGAAGGGGAGCCCGATGTCCTTGCCTCGTTTGATTGATTGGCGGCAGCCGGGACAAAAGTCCTTGCCGAAGTCAGGTGAATAGTCAGGTGTCAATCGTAAGCTGGTCCAAAACGAGGACACAACAAAACAGCAAGGAGCCCCTGACTTTTCCGACTTTCCCAAGATGTATGGCAATGTAAATGAGATTTCCGGGAGCCTTCGTTTGAGTTTTGTGTTCTTTGTCATTTTTAATTGGCTTATGAGTCAAGAGCCCTAAAATGACATTATTGCCAGAGACGGTTCTTTGTCTGTGTAATTGCAGAAGTGTGTTTAAAATGTGTGTAATCAAAAGGCAGAACAGGCTCGTGTTCGCAATACAGCCTATTTTTGGAACCCAAACGGCATTCTTATTTCCCAGTAAAAGTGGCTCTTTTTAGGGGAGAATTTAATTAGGATTTATGCAACTACAGTTGCTGTGCGCGTACAACTTTTGAAAGCCGGCTAATCCATTGGCAACAAAAGCGCGAACTGCTCTTGGCCCTCGAGAGCCACACACACACACAGCACACACGCACACACACGACTCCCACCAAACCAGAAAACCCAAACAAACCAGTGCAGCACAAACTCGAGCCCTTTCCTGCTCTTACTGCACTTGTACATGGCCGAAAGAGCCCCGGCATTAAAGCCATCAACGCGGCCCGGTTGCATGTTTGGGCCACATTTTGGCCTAGTCCCCAAACACACACGTGCACGGGAAGAAAAAGCGGGTATCTAATTAGGGATCTAAATGATTTGTTTGATTTTTTCGCACGATTGGAAAATGAGCGTTCTATTTGCTTTCTCTTTTGCTTATTTAATAAGTTAATTGGGTTCAGAGCCACTAACGTTTGTGATTCTATTTGATTTACTTGTTGCTGTTTGACATGTAAAAAGTAATTGAAAAGGTTTTCACACTCTTAAAAAATCTGATTAAAATAGAACATTTAATTCAACATTTTAACATTGAAAAGGTATTTATTGGTAGGATAGTTTTACTACTTTTTTATAACACCTTTTCTTGTTTAATAGCTTGGGAAACTGAGCCTACTTCACATTGAATTATATTTGCTGTTACTTTACGCGTGCCACATCTATCTGCTATAAAAAAACCAGAGTAAATTGCTTGACGATTTTCGCGTCATTTTGCCGACCTCACTTGGGGCATGAAAGCAGGACCCTGCCCCACGTCTATTTGCACGCTTAGCTGAGCATAAATCACACGAAGGACGAAAGGAGGAATATGTGTTCAGTGTTCAATGCTCGGTGTTCGGTGTTCGATGTTCGATGTTTGTTTTTGAGTGGGAATTCGGCACATTTTGCTGCATACTTTGGGGCGCCAAGGGGCTGGCAATTGCAATTGACAGTTTATTTATTCATTTTGACAGTTTTATGGACACGCACGAACGAATCGTCGATTAGGGGGCTTAATTTCATGGTTAATCCGTTACAAATGTCAACTGTCATTCGCTTGGTTTTGTTTTAGGCCCCCAGCATCAACCGAAAAGTACCCGTCCTAAGCGTTTAAACACGTCTAATTGCAGTTGCATGTAAACCCGATTATTTATGCAGAATCCCAGTTTATGCGGTTGTCACTCGACATTCGACACAGTTGCTTATTGTTATTGGTGTCCGCTGTGTGTTAGTTGTTATTGTTATTGTTTTTGTTATTGTTTTCCTCTTTGCTGATTGACAATGACGTGGCCATGTCGCCGGACATCGGTTGATTGGGAAAAGGAGCGGGAAATGTCCTCGCAAATGTTTGGCGGCACCCAAAACCACGCGCACTCACTCAATCGATGACAATCGGCACTGTTCATGAATATTTAAATTTCTATTGTTGTTTCCCGTTGTTATTCACTCCACGGGGCCATTAAAAAGGCCGTTTTCGGCGAGCCTTCTCACCGCTCGTTAACGCACTTCAAAATTACGCCTTTCCTTTTGTCGGCGAAAAGTGGCGGAAAACTCGGAAAAGTCGAAAAAGTCGGCAAAGTCGGATAAACTCGGAGACTGCCTCCGACCCACTCGATTTACCGTTGTGCGCGGAAGGGACTCGAGGTCGCGTTCGTGTGGCACTTCCGCAGACCCTGGTTGCCGTCACAATACTGAGATCGGCGGCATGAACTATAGCTTCTGTAGGCGAAGGCGAAGGTAAAAGCGAAGGCTTCCGAGTCACGCGAAAACACAACGACTACGACAACAACACGAACGACCCGCGATGATGGCTAACACACACACACACACACACACACATTACCAGTGGCACACACACAGCCAGCAGTTGGAAAAGCTCTTAAAGGACTCCAATTCGCCGCACTCCGAATGTGTGTTAAAGCTCCGTTACGCGTGGGGAAATGTATTTCCCCACATAAATCTCTGCTAACCAATTTGAAACGGTTATTTTGTAAAAGTAATCTTTACTGCCTTAAATAACCTTTTAAAAATCTGAACAAAATATTTAAAAAAATGGCATTGTGTAAAAAAAATTGAGAAAAAAAAATTAAAAGCAAGTTCACCTTAAACAAAACAATATCTTTATCTCAGTTTATAAATTTTTCATAATATGAAAAATGAAAATATATCTAATATTATTTAAAGTACAACTTCCGTCAAAACTGCTTTGATTTGACACAAAAGATATCCGGACTTATATCCTTAAACTGCTTGCAAAACATCATTTGTCAAATATCCTGCATCGAATCCTTTCACTGCTTTCAAGGTAAATTTAAGCATTCCCTTCATCCTTCGATCTAACAAGCAGTAATTTGCTGTACTAAAAAGTCCTTTTCTCTTAGTCCACAAAATAACCCTAACGGATTTTAAGACTTTAAGTGAATTTTTACGCACTGCTTACATGCAGGATAACAACATCCCCGTGTTTTGTGGCAAAATGTTACCCCTGATGATTTGGATTATTTTAAGGAAATATTACCCCAGGCTTATGCATTTTCGGAGTACCTCAGAGCGTTAAGGGCATGTTATAATATATAATTAACGACTGTTATTATAATTTACAAATAATTAGTCACCGCAAATCGACCATGAACTTGTTACAAATTCCCCACTGAATTATAACGAATTAATAAGCCTAAACTATGCTCTCCATAATGTATAATCGAGTGCATTAAGTGCTTAATCAATCGAACCACCAATTTGCAGACACCTCCCTCTTTTTGCCACAAACTTTCGCCCTTTCCCCCAACCCCAAGATCCATTGACATTTAACGCTCGTCAGAGTGAAAGCCGTTGTCTATATATTCGCCTTTCTCCGCCCCCCACTTTCACTCAAGGTGAACTCAATTGAATTCTCAACATTTGCACATCAATTATTTCACAAGTAGCCAGCTCTTTTTGCCATGGCGATAGAAAAAAAACGAGGCAGCCGGAAAAAATGAATATAAATCCAAGCGTGGCGGTTGCTGGAAAAACCAGTGGGGCAAAAACTGCATTGGCTGCTGCAGAGGCTCCTGCTGATCCTTCGCCACCTCCACCTGCGGCTATCCTATTTTTTTTGCCACCCACAACCCGCATAACAGATTCAATGTCAAAAATTTGACAAACTCAACAAGAAGCAAAAAGAAAAACAGAGCCGAACCGAACCGAACAAAACCAACACAACTAGGAGAAATTTCCCAGAGATTCTCGCTGATGAATTTGTGGCAGGTTCATAAATCCAAACAAGCAACAACTAACTAACAAGAAGAAGACGGGCGTAAAGAACAACAGGCATTAAAAAATCAACAGACTACGAAAAAAGTGCACCACAACAAAATTTCCGAACCCTTGAAATTTTTTATAAGATTTACTGCTTTAAAGAATTTTACTTACTGAATAAAAAGAATATTCCATTTTGCCTCTTTAAAAAATATCTTGTAAAATTCTTATCAATTCAGAAGTAATGTGTCTTAAGATAGTTTTTCTTTTATTACGGTTGAAAAAGTGAAATTTTTGGCGCCAAAATAGATAGTAAAGCGGTCGGACAAAGGCTACAAAAATGTGCTGGTAAAAATGCCAAACAAATCGAGAGCTCGACACAAAAGTCGCTTTCAAAATTTATTCAGTCAGCGTCGAAGTTCATTTGAGTGTCATAAATCAGTTGGCCCCAGCAGAACCAGAGCCACCCACCCGGAACCACCCACCACGTTCGAGGGAAAGTCGGAAAATGTGCGGGGGAGGCTGGGAGGTGGGAAATCCAGAGGCATGGCGGCTGGGAGGCTATGAGGCAGGGGCATATAAATGACAACTTTGACTATTGGCTGCCATTGCACGTACAACAAACTGCAGCTTGGGCACGATTCAGCATCGTTGCCATGGCCCTCGCATATTTCCTTGCAGCGGAAAAGCGTAGGAAAAGCGTCGGCAAAGGAAAATATTTTCGAAATCTACTTCTGCTACTGCTGCTGCAGAAAGTAGCAGCAAGTGGAGCCAAATGTCATGAGAAATCTAGTCGTTGGCTCCTTCGGCGCACACAAAAACATTCTTCGAACGGGGGGAGGTTTTCCACCCAGACTGGGAGGGCGAAGAAGGAGGTGGGGGAGGGGGAACCATTTCCCCCATCTACTCGGTAAAACATTTTTTCGTTATAAATCAATTTGAATTGCGCGAGCAGCTTAAGCGACAAACGATTTGCAGACAGTCAGCCAGCGAGAAACCAAAAAACCAGAACGAGGCAACGGGAAAGGACGAAAAAAAAGGATATTCGACAAAGCAGCAAATGCTGTTTATTTAGGCAATTCGCCGAAGAACCAGCAGGGAGTGTAAATCCAAATTGAGCTGGTAATATTTCCGAAGAATTTGTGTTTATCACTTCTTAATGAGCTGCCATGAAATGTTAATATTTATTAAGCTGATATTTAAACAGCTGATCCGATTAACCAACGATTGAAACTTTAAAAACAAACCATTTACATTGTAATTTTATTTTCACAGAACGCATCAATCATGTTAGCTTGAACTTTTTGCGAATAAATTAAAGCCAACACAATTTGAATTCAACCTGTTAATAATTAACGTGCATGTCGATAAAGTCACACGTCATGTTTTTCGAAAGCTGACACACATATAATTATTGCCACTATAATAATGAAATTAAGGCTTGATTTAATGGAATAAAACATCAAGATTGCTTAAGTCTTCAACCGACAAAATGAAAATGTAAATGTAAACAGAAATCCGGCGAAATCCCTGCCAGCCCGAAGCACTTGCTTATGTTAAACAATCCACCAGAAACTTGGCATTAAATTTGTACGAGGATCCGGATAGTCCATTCCCACAGAAACCTCATGCTATATATGTATATATATATATGTGCGCTATATGTGTTCCATCTCGTTCAGCTGCTGCTGCAAATGAAGCGCTAAATCTGCAAGTGTCAAGCACAGGAGCTGCAACAGCAACATTTCCTTTTTTATCTCTTTGTAAGCATTTTATTTCGGTTCCTTTCTTGTTTTTCTTTTTTTTGTGTGTTGTTTTTTTCGTGTACTTGCTGCCTTGTTGTGTGTGCTTAATTTTTTTGTTTTATTTTGTTTTGTTTGGGGCAACATTGTGCCGCATTTTGTTGCGGACGGGCCTAGCCCATTTGCATAGATGAGGGGGAGAGGGGAGAAGGGTGCGGGGCGATGCGGAGATCCTTCCATTTAACCCACTGAGCTCGTTTTGCCCGCCGCCGAGAGCAACAAAACCGCACAAACCGGAAGTGAAACAATGTACATCCCTCACACACACATGCACACACACACTCACACGCACACTTTTAAATGCTAAAAGGTAACCGAAAAACGGGAGAGAAAAAAACAAAGCGTTGTACAAAAAACACTTTTACACCTGCCGCCGGCAACAGAGCGACCTAGAAATTGTTTGGGCTAATGTTCTCCTAATGCCGAGCTTTCCCACGAACAAACGAAATATTTGTTTGCGGAAATCATCAGCATCATCATCACTTCCGCCATGAGTTCCTCTCGCCCCAAGGAGCTCTTGACGCGCTGGTGCCATTTTTTATGTAACTCCACTCCGACTTCACCTGGCCAGGATGCCCCCATCTCCTCCCAGTCCTCCTCCTCCTTCTCAGCCAAAGTATCCTCCTTGTTTGTCGAGAGTTGTTTACCAGTTTAAGTTCGGGCGGAAAATTGGGGTGGGGAACGTCGGAAGATGTTGGCTTCTTCTGCAGCCAGATGAGCAGTTGAAGCCAGTGCCTTGATCAGTTGAAGGGTCAAGAGTCGAGTGTCGGAAAATGCCTCCCAAACTAAGAGCCTGGAATTCCTTTTCCACACTGCAAAAAAAAAATGTACATAAATGAATGCATTCTTCAATTTAATTGTGTATTGCGCATTCCTGTTCTCAAGCGGCATATTTTAAGTCAAAGAATTAAAATTGTTAATAATAAAAAATTCATAGTTTACCGTAAATAAAACCAATAAAATGTTGCCCAATCAGCAACAGCAAACATTCCTTCATTGTATTTAACAAAATTAGATATTTAAAGATTGCATTCCAGCAAAATTCCCTCCCTTTTCCCTCAGTGCACCTTGCCAACTTTGTGCTTACCTTCGACGCTTGCTTTGACTTGACTTTGTAGTGAAAGTGGCTCGAAAGTTGTTGGCCAGCCGCAAGTTGAAAATTTGCTTCGGGCCAACGTGGCGTATGTGGAATTTGCAGGACTCCAAGATCCAATGGCATTCCCCTTTCAGCAAGTCCTTCCTGCTTCTCACTTGACAAATTGCAATCGAGAACAACTGAAATTGAATTGTGGTTGCTCAGGGGGACGGGGCGTATACGTAATTTGATGTGTTGACACTTGTCACTGCCTAATAAGCAGCTGTAACTCTTCCGGAAACGGAGGTTAAAATGAAGTCGAGGGAAGGTGAGGGAGTGGGGAAGAAGGCCAACTAACGAGTGGCAAACGCAAATTGCCAATTATGAGAGCAAAGTAGTCGCTTATTTTGCTTATTTATGGCACGATGCGAATATTTGATATATTTACGACAATATCATGCTCGGCACACAAACTCAACCTGGCCAAAAAGCGGAGGAGGGGAAGGGAGGGGGAGGAGGCACAAAGCCGGAGGGACTGTGCCACCCCGCAAAT